AAATGAAAATTATTATGAAACTGAACACTGTTCAGATGTTGAAGTCACATTTTTATCTTTAATGCATTTAGTAACATCAGATGAATGAAAAACAAAAAGGGTTTTTTTCAGGTGAGATACAGGATTTTGTAAAGGACTTCTGTTGAACCCATTTCTTATACCCAAACAACCATTGAAAGCAAGCTAAATTTGGACAAGATGTATAGGCCTTTACTATTCCAAGGAAAAGGCCTCTTTTCCTTTCAAGTTTAGCAGCCTGGGATTTCTAAATTAACATCTCATTATTACTACCACTAATTCCAGATTTTATAAAACCAGAAAAATACAAAAATGTACATTCACAGAAACTATCTAGAAGGATATACATAAAGTGCAATAGCTCCAAATTTAGGAGCATCTCTGCAAAGGAGCAGGTCAGAAGAGATCATGAGGGGGATTTTTCACCTTTTACAGCGCAACTTCTACATCTCAAGTTTTCAAAAGCATTCACTCCAATTATTGTATAATGGCTTAAGACTATTTAAAATACAAGCAATAGGGGTGCCTGGGTGGCTCAGTGGGTTGACCCTCTGCCTTTGGCTCAGGTCATGATCTCAGGGTCCTGGGATAGAGCCTGGCATCGGGCTCTCTGCTCAGTAGGGAGCCTGAATCACACCCCCCCCACACACCTCTCTGGCTGCCTCTCTGCCTCCTTGTGATCTCTCTCCCTGTGTCAAATAAATAAATAAAATCTTTAAAAAAAAAATAAAATAAAATACAAGCAAATAAAATACAAGCAATTGCTCATTTAAGAAATGAGCAATTAGGCTTCATATTATGAGTGAGGAAGAATTTTAACACCCATCCCCAGATTAGGAAAAAAGAAATAAAACTGTCTTTGTTCACAAATAAAGTGCTGCAGAAAAAAAAAATAAATAAAAATTAAAAATGAGCAATTAAAAGGAGCTAAATGAGCAACTCTAATCGCATTTGAATTTTTACAATACTATGTGATAGGCAAGTCAGATAGTTGGCCCTTTCAGTAAATGAGAAGAAGGTTAAAAAAAATTTAACTTCTTCAACAAATCCATTACATTTTTAAAATGCTCTTCACTTTAGCCTTTAAATTATCTTTAAAAAGATAATTAAAAAGATTTAGCTGGGGCACCTGGGTGACTCAGTTGACTGAGCATCCAACTCTCGGTATCATTCTGGCTCAGGTCATGATCTTGGGGTGGTAGGATGAGCCCATGTCCAGGTCTGCGCTCAGAAAGGAGTCTGCTTGAGATTCTCTCCCTAGTTGCACCCCTCCCCGTCATGCTTGTATACACACTCGCTCTCTCTCAAATAAATAAATCTTTAAAAAAAAAAAAAAGATTTATCTGTAAAACTTTAAAACCAACTATATCTGATTCTATAGTTCTCCCAGAAAAACCAAACACATTTACTTAGTAGCGTTTACATATTTAAGAAACACAAAAATAATTATCAAATATAGTAAAGTCATATAAAACAAGAATTTTTTACTATTCTCCACCTTGCTTGAAACATTTAATGACTTCTCAAAGACATTTTATCCTAAAAGAGCTCTAAAAAATTTGAATTTTTAGGTTTCAAGTTGCTATATAAATAGTTTACTCAAAATACTAGTATTTCCTTACGCAAATTCTGAATTTAAAGGACTTGGGAAAATATCATTTATTACATACAGACATACTATCTATAGAAACATGTCTACAGATTGGTTATATAGCTATAACTAGACAATTCAGAAAAGCTTGAGCCCTAGACTATAAATAACAGGTACACAACTGACTCTAGTGGCCCAGAGTTCATCAGCTATCTAAAAGGCATCATTTTATTTAAATAAAAACTTTTAAAAAGTTAAATAAAAGGCATAATTTTACAATCCAGGATAGAGCATGCTTGAGGAAATTATTACAGTAGTTAAGACAGTATTTTTTTCCCCAAACAGCCAAAATGCAAGGAAAAAACTAACCAAATGCATACCTAGTACATGAGTGGGGAGACTATTACTTCATCTGCATACATACACAGAACCAAACAGATACCAAAGAATTTGATGTGGTAATATAGAAAAATTTTTAAATATTCACTTAAAAAACTTCTGACTGGTCACTGACTATAATCTGCACTCTGTTCTTTTTTTTTTTTTTTTTTTTTTTAAATTTAAAGAGAGGGGGGGATCAAAAGTAGGCAGAGGGGCAGGTGGCGGGGTGGGGGGCGGGAAGCAGGCTCCCCGCTGAACAGAGATTCCCCCCCCACCCCCGCCATGTGGGGTTCTGGATCCCAGGACCCTGAGATCATGACCTGAGCTGAAGGCAGGGACTTAACCCACTGAGCCACCCAGGCGCCCCTGCACTCCATTCTTAAAAAAAAATCTACTCAACACAATATTCAACACAGGATTTAACTTTATGTGCTCGCTCACACATTATAACATATTTAGCAACTGCATTTCACACAAGTTTAAGTTCAGTAACTTTGAAGTTTGCCAAGTAAAGTGTGAAAATTACTGGAATGCAAGCAATGCACCTTCAAGAGAAGCAATTCTTCCACTGATCTGCAATAATCAACTGTGTATTGAAAGGTTACTTTGTGCCAACTGCTGTATTTTAATAAAGTAACACGGTTAAATTTAAAACTACAGGCTGAATACTGATTGAAAAAAGGCAGTCCTACAAAGGATTAATACATAAGATAGGTTAATTTAAAGTCAATTGTTTAACTCATTCAAAACAGAATTCATAGTTGATGAAATTACAATTTCAGAAGGACCAAGCTATGGCGCTCTCATGCTAAGTAACATCAGATTTACTAAAAATAAACATGAATGCATTCAATGTCATTTAATTCATACATTTTTAACTTCAAAAGTATCCCCAAATTATCCTCTTCTATCTCAAATAATGTACATTAAAACGTTTAATAACTGAATCCCAAAAGGTACCAACACAAAAACACAAAACCATATTTATTTAAGGTAGCTAAATATTGGGACTACTATATGACATTCAGTCAGTAACACTAGTAAGTCAACACAAAATAGAAACTGTAATTCATATCACCTAAGAAGTCATGCTGAAAAAATGTTTTCAGAAAATAAAGCAGTCTTTATTCTTAAAACTCACCATAATATATTCTTTGCAAATTAAAGATACCTAGCGTCTTCTCCCAAATTCAAGAATTTTTTTTTTTTCGAAATGTTTAAGTATGTCGCAGTTTGTCTCCCCACACCAACCATCCAATACCCATCCAGTTTGGTGCTTCACCAGAGCACCCCTAACATTCACAGGTTTTATCTTGAAGGGGTAATTAAGAGGGTTTCCCATAAATAAAAGTTCTACATGTTCAGCAGCACAAATCTCTCACACATGAATTCAACTCAAATGCTGTGAAACTAAGTGTACTTTTCCCATTTTTTAAAAATTATTAATCCCATGAAAACCTTCAAAGTGCTTATAATTTTAAAGCTGATTGCACATATTTGCAAGAAAACCATTAGGTTTTGATCAGTGTTCTTAGTTTTGAAAGATGCTTTAAAAACTTTGTAATTTCATCAGCTTAAGTCTGAACTCACAAGAAGCACATTGGAAGAGACATGATACCAAACAGGGGCAATAACTACACAGCATGCACCTACCATGGGGAATGCCCAAGGATTCAACACAGCCAAGGGAAGAAGCTATAGGCTTCTATCTGAACAATGATTCCACTAAAATAAAAAAGTAAAATGTCACAGCCCTAACCCTTGCCTATTTCTCCACTTTCTCATTAGTATAAAGATTGTTAAAAGCCATGAGAGAAATCCTTAAGAAATTAAGTGGTTCAGTTACAAACCATAATTTAAGAGCATTTCAAATTCAAAACAACTTTCCTTAGAAAACAGGACAAAATTTTACCAAAGAAAAGCCCACACCTGACCAACAGTAAGAACATATGTAACCCAAATGGCAATATTAAAGTTTCCATTTAACCCATTAACCATACTTTAGAAAGTTCAGTGTTAATAAACAAAATATTTCATTTTAGTTTTTCAACTTGAATTATTTCCACATGCTTGTTTTAAATTCTGTGCACAGCCACTGAATATTTTCTCCTACTGACTTAAGTTGAGAACACTTCTGATATGTGGCATCCCATTTCAATGCTAACCCTGAGAACTGAGAATTAGGTTAAACGTTTTACACCTAATTTTTAAATTAGGGGAGTAACAGATTTGAATTAATCTCCCTTAAATAAATGGCCTATTACAACACATTAATTCCTTCCTCACTTCACTGTTGACTTAATAAAATCCAAGTCTTTTACCTCAACAGCAGCAAAACAATTATTCTAAATAAAATAAAGTGATTGGCAAATGCTCCACAAAGCTGGAATCAAATTGCTTTGAAACCGAAACACACATATGTATACAATGCAAAGCAATTTTGAGAAAAAATAAAAAAATACCCCATGGAAGAGCTTAAATCTATAAAATTTAAGAAACCTTTTTATCAAAGTCACAAATTATGTCCTGAATTGATCTGCCAAAGTCCAACACAGAATTTACACATACAATGAAATAAGCTTGAGAATCTGTTGTGATTTAACTCTATGATCTATTAGCTTAACGGAGAGCTGGAATAACAGATTAAGATGGCAAAGCAATTTTCTAAACCAAAACGTACCTGAGTATCTAAAAAGGTTTTACATAATCCCTAATGACATATCCAAGGTCCACGATTAGACCAAGTGTACACCCTTAAATTCATTTCACAGTTCTGTTTTATGTATGTGAAAGGGTCCACGCCAGATAAATTCATTACTTCTCTTCAGCATTAACACTGAAACTGTGAGAGGCTCATCAAAACATTACTCCCAGGTTAATCAATTTCAGCTGTTACTTGATGTTAGCATCAAAATAATTCATGAAATAAAAGAAGTTTTTTAATAACAAAAAGAAAATCCCCAAGAAAAAGAAGAATTTTAAAAAGAAAAAATTGTGAAAGGAAGCTCACCTGCAATTAGGTGGAGGGTCTAAAGTGATGTCTGCCAGTTCCTTCTGAATCCTGGAGTCAGGGAAGTGAGAGAGAAACACAAGAAACATGAAGGCGTTGGTAGCCTCCCACCGGTAACGCATAGGTCTGGCAGATAACCCTAACTGCCTGCCATGATAACTGGGTTCTACTGAGGGAGAAGGAAACTACACATCAAAAGCTTCAGGCCCATAGTTTAGGAAAAAACTTCTTTCCCACCGGCAGTGAGCTGGCGGTCCGGGGTCTTCTGCTGTTATCTAAAATGTTTCGGTTCCAGTCTTGCCTCGCACACTGAGGCAGTTGTGTTTCTCGGGGTTTTCCATTTAGGAAATCATTGTAAAGCTTCGCTTTGGACTCGTTTCCTAAGTTGCATTAGAATGTGCCGGGACACATTCACTTCTGCGCTGCACGTCTTCCCTGGACGGAGAAACCCAAGCCGCCGCGTGGGTGGGAAGGGTGCGCCCCCAATCTCCGCCCGCGTCACCCCCCACTCCCGGCACCTCGGATGCCCTCCCCGCCGCCTCGGCAGGGCGCCCTCCCCAGGCCGTCCCGCGTCCTCAGTGACGAAGCCAACATGGCCGCTCCCCGCGAGGCCCCTCGGGTCCTGACTGACCTGCCCCGCGTCGCGGGGTGCCGGCACAGCGCAGGCCGCAAGGCCGAGCCCCAGCTCGGCTGCCCGGGCTCCCCGTCCCCAGCCCGCGCGCGCCCGACAACTCGGGAGGCGCACGCCAGACCCGCGGGAGAAGTTGCGGACCAAGGGTGGCGAGAGCCCCCGCCAGGACGCACAGCGACTCCCCCACTCGCCCCCACCGCGCCCTTGGACCTCCAGCCCTCACGCCGCGCGCGGACCCCTCGGCGCCAACACTCCCGCCCGCCCCTCCAGCGAGACCGGACACTAGCAGCCGGCCCGCACAGGTGCACCCAGCCTCCGTCCCGCACAGCGCTCGCACTCTAGCCACCCCCCCCTTTCCGGACCTGCTTTTTCCTGGATATCCTCTAAATTCTCTAAGATCTGCTCCCTTCCTTCTCCATCTCAGCATGGACAGAGAACCCGGGACAATAACCCCCCACCACGGCCCCCGGCCCATTTTCTATCTTCGCACCAACCCACGACTTCACAAAGAGCCCCTCCCCCACTCCTAGGCCGACGCCACCAAGCAGTTCACACCAAGCCCTGGCCTTTGTCTTCTGCTTACCTAGGCGCTTAGAGCATCAATTAATAAGACAAAGTTTGAGACCTTTAAGCCTGTGACATCTACTAAATGGTGCCTTCTATTTTTATAACCTTTCTTGCTCCTATCACATAAAATCCCAAAGGGCTACGGTACAACTTAAAAAAAATATCACAGAGGTAGAACGGTAGTAAAAAACTAAACACACACACAGTCTAAAGGCAATCAGAATCACAATGGTTGCTTTTCTCTTTCCAAAGGTTCTCTGAGGGTGGGAAGATAGGCTGGGTAGATGCAATGGGCAGTAGGTTTTAGAAGGCATTGTTTTCTCCATGTGTAAGTAAAGAGAAATTAAGGGTGGTTATTAGGGAAGTTCTTTAGACCTTCCTATTGGAGGACACTTCCTGCCCCCTACAAATCTGGTGAGCTTTAGAAAGCGGTTTGATCACAGCCTTTACAGACATCTACTTATCTGTGTCTTGCTAAATTCTTTTGCTACCAATAAGCGTTTCAGTTTTGAGACATTCCCAAACACCCGGGCTGTTTGACTCAATACTATGTTGGACTAAAAGTTTGGAATCCTGGTTTCCTGATTCTTTATGTGCATGTTAGAATGACTATACCTTAAGACCTATGTACATAGGCAAAAATATCCTCCACCTGAGCACAACTTGTATAAAAATACATATTGACTTCACTTCTTGCAAATTCAACCTCTACTATATTTACTGAAAAGGTGGCTACTTCTTTAATACCTAAAAAGTATACTACCAGTTTTAACCACTTCATCTCTACAACTAACTGACAAAATTTGTCAATACTGACAAAAGATTTGTACGAGTAACTCATACACACGTTTCACGGAATAATTCTTGTCCAGACCACTCTCAATGGGAGCTTTTCATCTACCCATGGACTACAAACAAAACCACTTTCGAATATGCAGTTAAGTAACCTTATGTCTACCAATTCAGGCTTTTTTATTGTTTCCCGGTATATGGGCCCTTTCCAAGTCTACAGCAACTCTCAGCTTCCAAGTCAACGTATTTCACAGAGCAGCTTTAATAGGGTCCCACTAACATTAATTTCCCCCTTATTCTTTCCAGGATACGCTGCCCCTCTCCCATTTTTTGCCTTCACTATTAACCTTAGCTCTGCTTTAACACTAAGAGCCACTCTTTCCACAAGATATTCAAGGAGCAAAAACTGATGTTAACTTTATACATAAAATTACCCCTTGTAGCTTCCCACCTTTCATTTTTTGTACACCTACTAATCTCTTTCCCAGGAATTTTCAAGTAAGTTTTTAAACTTCCTTAGCATAAATGGACAAACTGTGTGTAATGAAAAATCTCCCTCAGTAATTTGCTGGCACAAAGGAAGACTATTTTATATTCGACACCTGTGCTTTTACCCCCAAATATATTCATGTGCGCCAGTGATATCCTGGTACACAAAAAACACTAATAATCTGAAGCAAATATCCTGCCTTACTCAGGTCAGCCCCAAAGCTGTCCCAGCATGGATCAGGGGGCACAGGTACTGCAGGTCAGGGTAGTGAGGGGTAGGGAGCTGGGGAGATTAAGGAAAGCCCTATCCAATGTGAGCAGGGGAGATGGCAGGTTCTGGACTAATCAATGAGGGCCAGTTTGGATTCCTGGGAAGCCAAGGTGCCATCAAACCACCTCTCCAAAAATAAGTAGAATCTTGCTAAGGTATCTTGCCATTTAACTCTAAACCTCTATGTTCTTTAAAACAAGCGAACATCTCTCCTTCATTCCCCCCATGGTTAGGTCACCAAAGCACTTTACCAAATTTTCAAATTTCTGGAAAAATTACAGAACAAACTTTGACTCTGAGTTCCGGGCTCACTACTCAGTGGAAACTAAAGACTCACATTCTGTTTTATTTTACGTTCCTTTAAAAAAGATACCCCTATTTAACCCACCATTTGTATTCCTTACTGTCTTCCTGGTTTGCCACCTTAAAGTTTAATGACTGTCCACCTGAGAGCAGCAGGATTTATGAAAGGGTGCGGGGTTTCCCCGGAATCTGCTATAGATTATTTTAAGGGTCATGGAGATCAGAGAATATTACTGAAGGATGCCTGAGGTAAAAAAAAATAGGTTCTTTCAGAAACTAAGAGGAAAATAGTCAAGAAAAAAGAACCACTGCTTAAATTCAGCTTGGGAAAAGAAAAATTTTTACAGCATATGAGAGGATGTATCATGAAAAAAGTGAGTCTCCCTTTAATTTGGCAAAATTGAAGTTTTTAAAGAGAAAAAGAGAATCTTTTTCTCAATACCCATTTTACATCATTTATCAATTCATTTGCCTCAACTCTCCAAATCAGAAGAATCTCTTTAAGTTCCATCTGAAAACACCTGTTTTCACCTATTAAATTTTTTACCCCACTAACAGGAGTTATTCCTTATGCAGTTTGCGGAGAAAGCTCCACTCAAAAAAGATCACAGTGCAACAGGTGAAGAGAAAGCAAGACGGTAACCAAATTCATTCTGATAGAGTTGTCTGGACAGGTATTAGTAATTAAGTGGGATGACAGCCTTGGGAAGGGTGACAAGCTAGTGATTAATAGGACAAGTAATTCGAAATCAGATTTGGGGGTCACTAATAAAAGTAATGAGGATTCTTACAAACTTTAGCAAGAAATGAGAGAGGCAAGCCGCAACAGCTGCACGTGGGTAACTATTAAAAGGGAAAAACCAGAAGCAATAGAGTAAAATAATTAAAGCTTCCACGGCCCATTTTTTCATTTTTAACAGCACGCAAACCATGAGGAGCATTCAAGCTACCCCTCATTGGGAGGCAGACCAAATGAAGCAGCAAGAGGCAGTTCGGAAAATAGGAAGCCTAAGAGGTTGGGGGTGGAGTACGGTACCTCTTGGCGCTGGTAGAGAGGAGTTTGGAGTTTTTGCTCATGCTGACTTTACTCTCCTTCTTCTTGGGGGTGTTTGCTTCTTTCTCGGTTTGCTGGTTGGAGGACGAAGATGAGGAGGAGCTCGTGCTGGCCCTCGAATCGTCATCCGACATAGCGAACCCCCCACCCCACCCCGCAAACAGCCCCTGCCGGGGGAGAGAAACAAAACAGAAACACACAGACCGTGCAGTCAGTGTAAATAAGGAACTCGGGTGCTGTCAGAAGGGCTTTGGCCAGGGGTGCACCCGGCCGCCCACCGCCCTCCACTCGCTTTTCCAAGTCTTCAGGCCCATTAAGGCTTTAGCAAATCCGACGCGGCTTGTTTATTTTTGGCCCCAAGTGGGGGACGCGGTGGGAAAACCAGAACGAGCTCAGCGAGAGGCCCCTCCCGCGCCCCCCGGGGCTCCCCTCGGGGCAGGGAGGGGAGAAGCCAAGCAGGCTGAAGGCAGGGTGGGGGCGCCGAGCGCCTCGGCGGGGCAAGGAGAGAAGGTCCCGGCGGTGTGCTGGCCTCGGGGCTGTTTCAGTGGGCTTTCCGGGGGTCGCGGGGGGCCACTGATCAGGGCGAGACAGCGGGGGCCAGGAGTGGAGTTTGGCGAGGTCGGGAAGAGAGAAGGGGAGGAGAGGAGTAAGAGAGGAAGCCGAAACGGGGGGACGGAGGCGGGGAGCGGGTGCCCGGGTGGGGGAAGGGAGAGGCCGGCGGGGGGGGTAGGGGCGACGAGGCCCGAGGCCCCCCCAGCGCCGCGCCCCGACGCCTCTCCCCGCAGGCCTGTGGCTTGGCCGCCCGGCCAGGGCTGCGCGGCTGGGGCGGGGGTCCCGAGCACACGCCCGACAGCCACCCCTAGTGGGGGTGGGGCGAGGGGGGGGCTCGGCCTCCACAGCGGAGGAATAACAATGAGCCCTTCCGCCCCGGAGGGGTTAATCCCCGCGGGCCCCCGCCCGGGGGTAAACGGGGCTCCCCCGCCTCCCCCTCCCCCGCTCCCGACCCCCTCAGCGGCCAGTGGGGGGCTCCCGGGGCAGCGCTGACAGTTCGAGCCACAATGCCCCCCATCCCCGACGCGGGCGGCCCCCGCACCCCACGCGGCCCGGGGTCCCTACCCATCCCCCGCGGGCGGGCCCCGGACCCCTGGGGCTCCTCGGCCCCTCTCCGCCCCCCCTCAGCCCCGTGCCGGGCGGTCCGGGAGGCGCGGGTCGGGGGAGGCGGCGAGGGGTGTCCCCGAGGCCCGGCGACGCGGCCGGGGGGCGGCGGGCGGCGGGGGGGATCCCCGTACCTCTCTTTGTGTCTGGCTCCTCCGTGCCGCCGCGGCGGCTGCTGCTGCGGCTGCGGCTGGGCCTGGCCACTCGTGTCTCTCTCTCGCTGGGAGAGAAGCGGAAGTGCAGCAACAGCAACTATTAAACAGGCAATGGCTTCCCCCAGCCACACACGCTCGCACACACACTCCTCCTCCTCCTCCTCTTCGCCCTCACCCCTCCCCCACCCGGCCCGGTCCCACCCACCCGCGCTCCCCTCCCCCTGCACACCTCCGGGGGGGCGCGAGGAGGACACAGGGGACCCCGGGATACCCTCCCCCCTCCCCACCCACTCCCCCACCCCAGCGCCGCCGCGGGACGCCAGAGAAGGGGCGAGGGGTGGGAATTTTCTCTCAAGTGGTTTGGGGACCTGGATCCTGGGCTGGAGAGGGCAAGCCGTTCCGAGATGGGGGGCGCTGGGAGCGATAGGAACTGTATGGAATAGGGCGGTCACGAGAGGAAGTTCTTTCCAATAAGGGCTTTTGGAAAGGGGGGGGACAAATTGGTGGGGAAGGTAGTAATTTGGTGGGAAGGACTTTGGACCAGAGAATGCAGTGGAAACTCCCCCTAAAAAGTGATCAGTTTAAGGGGAAAAAAGAAATCCCACAACAGGGTTTCCCTTTGAGCTGACACTGGCTTCACCCTCTGGCAATTTACCTGCTAAGAGCAGAGGTCGGTTTAGGCACGCCTGGGAGAAAAATCTCAAAGTTGGAGTTTTCTGCTCAGGCACGTGCAATTTTACAATTTTAGATTCTTTGAGTCACTTTTCATAAAAAGTGGTGGTGTGTTGTAAAAGTGATACAAAGGATTCGTGACAGGTAAAACCAACGTGTATCAGCCTTACAAATTGTGAGAAATCACTGGGAAAAGAACCCTTTGCTACTGAATTAGACTGGATTTAGAATTTTTGGTGTCCGTTTACTTTAAATAGAAAGTTGGATTTTGAAAATTAGATCAAAAGTTTTGGGACTCTGGAACCTGCTTCAACAATAATATAAATGCTATTCAAATAATATTTTTAGAATAATCACTCAGTAATTCTTATGAATTGTTCCCTGTGTAGCACTTTTACCAAAAAAAAAAGATGAATGCATCAAATTATGATTTAGTTTCTCACTTATCATTTCAGTTGAAGGAAACTGAAGATATATGTGCAATGTCACATATATAGGGTCTGGTACATTAAGGAGCCGGTGAGAGATTTCCATGGGCACTCTAAATTATCTCGTTCAAATTGCCATCCTTTTTCATGGCAACAGTGGCTTCAGTTACCATAGAGCAACACAACAGGTATAAAGCTTATGGCAAATCCGCTAAGCAGGAAAACAAGCATTCTTACCACCCACCTGAAACCCTTTTAGCCTTCAACATTGAAACTCCAACTTTATCAGGACTGAGAAAGTAATTGGGCATGCTTCTTAATCCTTAGCAGGAAACCTGTATCTACTGGGAATTGCCAAGAATCAAGAAGTGGAAAAAAACTTTATAGGTCATCATATCAGCCTCCAGCCTCCTACCATCAGACAGAGCTATCCCTCAGTCACTCAAATGCATAGAAATTTTGAAAGACCTCCACACATAGCATTTGGTTTCAGGAGTCCTGATGGAGCATACATATATTTTTAAATGACATTCTCTGCTCTATGTTATTTGAAAACAACCACCAAAAAAAATCTCTCTAAAACCAGGTTGTAGGGCGCCTGGGTGGCTCAGGTGGTTAAGTGGCTGCTTCTGGCTCAGGCCATGATGCCAGTGTCCTTGGACCAAGCCCAGGGCTGGCTCCCTGCTGCTCCATCCCTCTCCCTATGCCTGCTGCTTTCCCTGCTTGTGCTCTCTCTCTGTGTCAAATAAATAAATAAAATCTTTTAAAAAGGTATATATTTTTGTGCTTCTAATGAAAAAGATATAAATTCAAAAGAAAACAATAAGCAAGTATGAAATAAAACTGAGTTGGAATAAAGGAAATAAAGTTATTACAATTGAGACTTTATCTTACAAAAATTTGAGTTTCTGATACTTTAAAATACATGTACACACTATGAGTACAACCAGTAAAAATCATGTATGTATAAAGAAGAGAGCTGACAGAACACAGGAAAATAAAAGTTTTGATTTGTTGATATGACTAGGACAGTGGCTGAATTTTTTCTTCAATTTTGGTTTGCATATGTCGCATACTAGGATACTAAATATAATAATATCTAAAGAAAAAAATCCTGAACATGGTAGTTTGTGTTTATTGTTGATGCTTGGGTTGGATCTGTCCCTCGGGAAATAAATCATGTAATTGAAGGGCTCCTCTTCTGTAAGAGAAGTGTTTTCCCAACCACCAGTCTAGAAGGATAGTAGCCCTCTTTTGTGTACGGGCCCTTATCTCTAACCTTGATTAGTGCTTTATGGTTTGAGAATGACCTATTGAGGGGGAATAAAAACCTCAAAATGTTTAGAAAAGAATTCACTGCTCTCAAAAGACTTATCGTTACATCAGATTATTTTAAATATACAGTTGTCTCAGTCACAAAAAACGAAAAATTCATTTGCAACCTTTCAGTTTTACTTATTAGCTACAAGGCCTAAGGAGTTAAATTGACCTCCCTGAACCTCAGTTTCCCTGTCTCTAAAGGGCAAGACTACCTGTGCTGCACTGACGGGCAGAGCTGTTAGAAGAGTCAAATGAGGCTCTATGATAAAGATGGTTTGTTAACTGTTATGCAAAGTAAATTATTAATAATCCCATCCTGATACTAATTCTCAGGAATTCTGTTATGACATGGAGCCTTTATGACTTAGAATTGATGACAAATATAAAAAGCCTCCTATGAGAGAGTCAAGGAACCATAGAATTTTATTTACTAGAAGGGGCCTAAGATATATTCAAGTTCAAATTTCTAGTGTTATAGATGGAGAAATTAAGGCAAAGAAAGCCTGATATGTCTTGTTCAAGGTCATGCAGTAAGTTGGTGGCAAAATTGTGGCTATCGCTCATGCTGCTGAGAGATGATATGGTGGGGAGAGGAGGGAAAAGCCTCAATTACATTAAAAAATATGTATTAAGGGGCACCTGGGTGGCTCAGTCGGTTAAGCATCTGCCCTTGGCTCCTGTCCTGATCCCAGAGTCCTGGAATCAAGCCTGCATTGGGGCTCTCTGCTCAGCGGGAAGCCTACTTCTGCCTCTCCCTGCCTCTGTCTCTCCCTCTGCGGCTCCCTCTGCCACTCCCCCTGCCACTTCCTCTACTTGCGCTCTCTCACTCTCATTCACTCTCAAAATAAATAAATAAAATCTTTTAAAAAGGTATTAAATATAAAAGAGCTCTGAGGGTGCCTGGCTGGTTCAGTCGGTGAAGCAAAAGACTCCTGATCTCAGGGTTGTAGGTTCAAGCCCCACATTGGGTGTAGAGATTACTAAAAAATAAAATCTTTTTTTTTTTTTAAGATCTTATTTATTTCTTTGACAGAGATCACAAGTAGGCAGAGAGGCAGGCAGAGACGGAGTGGGGGGTGGAGCAGACTCGCCGCCCAGCAGAGAGCCCGATGCAAGGCTCGATCCCAGGACCCCGGGATCATGACCCAAGCCGAAGGCAGAGGCCTTAACCCACCGAGCCACCCAGGCGCCCCAAAATAAAATCTTTTTTTAAAAAATTGGGTAATATTTTCGGGGCACCTGGGAGGCTCAGTGAGTTAAAGCCTCTGCCTTCGGCTCAGGTCATGATCCCGGGGTCCTGGGAATGAGCCCCGCATCTGGCTCTCTGCTCAGCAGGGAGCCTGCTTCCTCCTCTCTGCCTGCTTCTATGCCTACTTGTGACCTCTGTCTGTCGAATAAAAAAATAAATATTAAAAAAAAAAAACTGGGTAATATTTTCAAGAACATATTAACGATTGGGTGCCTGTGGGGCTCAGTTGGTTAAGTGACTGCTTTCAGCTCAGGTCATGATCCCAGAGTCCTGAGATGGAGCCCCATATTCCTGCTGAGCAGGGAGCCTGCTTCTCCCTCTCCCTATCTGCCGCTCCCCCTGCTTGTGCTCTCCTGCTCTCTCTCTGTCAAATAAATAAATAAAATCTTTTTTTAAAAATAACATATTAACAATCAAGACAGATGGGAAAGTGGAAAAAATGGAAGCAAATTAAAAGAATCACTACTTTGACAACATTTACTTAACACAATGACCACTACTGAAGTTCCTATTCCCCATTCTGAGAAAAAAATCATCATTGTTTATTTATTTTATATTTTTGGATATATTTTAAATAGGTAATACATTCTCATGCTATGTCATTTTTAAAGAAATCAAAGGTATGCCAGGAAATATCTCTCTGCCACTCCCCCAACTCTGCGGGGGGCTGTGCTTAAGCAAGCAAATGCATACAAATACACTGGATGCTTTGGTAGGAATTCTCAATTTACATTTAAAAGATAATTGCAGTCACAGAAGCCCAAGTGATGTCACACTGTGATATCTCTGAGCTTTGAGAAAGTGGGCTTCAGTTTTTACTAATACCTATTCCTTATCCTCAGAATAATCCAACTCTTTTCTTCAAGCCATCTTTAGAGTATCAAGTACTTTTAAGTAGAAACACTTGAAGATCAAGGTGTTGACTGATCCCTAGTAGGTGAAATGATACAGTTGATTCAGAAGAAAGAGACCCAGTCTAACTTTTGAGCATTCCTATTTTTGGCTCGTTGCTTACACAGAACTTCAGGTGTTTCATAAAAGCAACTGTTCTCTTTGGCCAATTTCACATCTAAAGAATCGTCAAGCAAATTAACACTTGTTAATATGCATTTTTAAACTTGCCTTATGGCTGGATAGAAAGGATTTCCTTTTTCTGTCAAAAGAAAAAAAAAACTTATGTTTGGAATTTAAAAAGAATTCCTATAAAGTCTTTCTGAAAATATGGACTCACTGCAGATTTCAATGCACTTGATTTATTTTATGATGCTCCTTTGCCTGAAAAATGCATTCCTTACACAGAAAGATAAAGAAGGTTCGCAAAGAAGGGTCAATTCCATGAAGTCTAATGTTATCTAGGGCTTTTATCTTCAATTCAGGTCATTTTTCTGCAGGCCTTTTTTAAAAAAAACACTGATCCCTTTGAAGGACCTAAGCATTGTTAGACTTTAGTGGTCCTGAATGCTGCTATCACAGGAAGCTAGGACA